GGGCGGCGGGCGGCGGACCCCCGACCGGGCCGCGCACACCCCGCCCCGCGCCCGTCCGTCAGCCCGGCACAGCCTGCCATTGGCCGCGCGCGCCGGGCCCCGCTCTGCCCCACCCCGGTTGGCCGAGAGGCCCGCCCGTCAGAGGCCTCGGCCGGGCGGGGCTTCCGGGAGCTGAGCGGAGGGCGGTTCCCGCCCGGCTGGGCCTCGTGGGCCGCGGCCTGAGGGGTTGGCTCCGCTGGGTACGGGGTCCGGGGGAGACAACTTCTCCGGAGACTGCCCGGACTCTCCCGGGAACAGGCGGAACTCGCGGGGAGACAGAGACCCCGCGGCGAAGCGGGTCCGCGGCCGGGTGTGGACTGGGGCGGGGTCGCCGATGTCCGACTCGAGCCCCTGCGCCGCTCCTGGAGCCCAGCGCCGGGCCCCTGGGCACTTTCACGGCGCGCACAGCTGCGCCCACGACCCCCTAGGCCGTCCCTGCGCAGTGCCGCGCAGCACACCGTAGGGGTTCCGGAGCGGAGGGGACAGCCCGAGGGCTGAGCCTCAGGGAGGGTGGAACCCGCGGCGTCGGCACCGCAGACTCCCCCGGACCCGAGGCCGGGGAAAAGCGGAGGGGCTGCCGGGACGAGGGTCAGGTGCAGGTGGCTTCGGAAGGGGCTCCTCCCGGCTCCCAGGACGCCTGGCAGGTTCGGCGGGGTCCTTGGGCGCGGCTCAGCCATGCGCCCAGGGCCAGGCGGCGCAGGGCGCCTCGGCTGGGCGGGGACGTCTGAGCCCGCGGAGCAGCGAGTCCGGCTCAATCTTTTTACCCAGTGCGGGGGGTCTTGTTTTTCACTTACGTAGTGCGCAGCCCCGCCCCGAGCTCCGCAGAGGGCCCTTGTCCCGCGCTCCCTGATCTCCAGCTTCCCCCAACCTCGGCAGGCCCTGCAGACTACCCCGTCCACCCAGCTTCCCCAAAGCCCGGAGCCCAGCCCTGCAGGAGCTCACCCTGAGGCCCAAACGGTACCCAGGAAATCCAACCCAAAAGCTGCCATAGGGGGTTGAATTGAAGACTCCCCCACCCCAAGCATAAATATGCACATTGTATCTCCTTTAGAGATTCTCAGAAGTACATGATTTAACATTTTAAAAAATTTCAAAGTAACGCATAAACACATTCTCCTTGTTTATAAGAAAGAATGGTGCATTACACTTAAGGCCAAACCTCCCCCTCTGCTCAGCCGGCACCCCCCTTCCATTCCTGCCCCTTCCGTGCCGTTCGGCCCCCTCCCGTGCCGGCTCCGTGCAGTTCCCCAGGAGCTCACCCCACTGAAAGCCTTGACCTCGGCGGGCCCCTGGGGGGCCGCCCCCGCCCCAGGCACGGCGCCGACCCCACGTGCCGTGGCTGTGTCCGGTTGGCCGTCCCGCGCACTGCGCCGCGGCCACGACGAAGCCCGGCTCGCGCCTGACGCGCGTAGACGCGAAGTAAAGGCGGATAAGTGAAAACGGGTGACGGCGCCTCTCGCCGACACGGACACTCTGGACTCCCCTCCAGGAGTCCAGGTCTGCATTTCCCTCGTCTTCTGAGGGTCCTTTCCCAAGGCGCTTCCTTTAAATCCCGCAGGGCCTTGGCCTCAGGCACGACCCGACACGGGCGCCTACCACCTGAGAAAGGTAGGCGCGAGTCTCCACCCCAGACCACCTTTGCGGAAGCCGACACCTGGCCTGCATGCGCCCAGCCGTCTCGACCGCGTCTCACCTCCCCAGCTGCCCTCCCGGCCCCAGGGGCGCTCCCGCGCGTGAGGGGCGGGACACGCGCGAACCTCCCAACCTGGTTGGCCGCCGCCCCGCCCGCCCCCCGCCGGCCCTAGCAACCGTTGCTAGGGGGCGTGACTCGGCCTCGCGGAGCCGGAAGATTCCCGCGGCTCATGAATATTTGCAGATTCAGAGAAGGCCCCGCCCCCGTTGCCTTGGCGCCCAGGCCCCTCAACCCCGCGGCCGGAAGAACAACCCCAAGTCGAAGACAGCGCCCGGCGAAGGAGGGCGCCCGGGTCCAAACCCCCGAGGCTGGGGCACCGGGGCCGACCCCTCAGGTGAGAGCCGAGCGCGCCTTTGGGCCCGGGGCCGCAGGCCTCGCTGTCTCGTCCCGTGTCGGGGTGGGGGGGGGAACTGAGGCCGGGGATGGAGCAGAAAGACAGTGAGGTCCCAGTGATGCCCCAATTGTCATATCTGGTCCCCTGGGGACCCATCCCACAACACCTGGCCCTGCTAAGGGTCTCGCGGTCACCGGGACAGGAGGGACCCCAAGCCCTGCCTAGGAACCCACTCTGGGAGTTTCCATGATGGGGACCTAGGAGGCGAGAGGCCCTACCCTCAGAAGGGATAGCAGGTGGAGGGCACCCAGAGAGGTGATGAGCCCGGCCAGGAGCTGGCGTTAGTCTGGGCCATGGAGAGAGAAAGGCCACCACACTTCCAACTTCGGGGGCTCACGGAGTGGCAGGGCAGGATGGGATCAGGGCCATGAACAGTGTGGACGGGTCCAGGCCAGTGAGTAGATGTAAAGGGATAGTGTCTCAATGGGAACCTCAGCCTCCAACCCAGGCCCTGCTCCTTGGACCCCAAGACCTTTGGCTAATCTGGACCCATACTCTGGGCCTAGTCATGGGCAGGACCTCAGGTCAGCTGTTCTCAGGCACAAAGGGAAGAGGGTGGCCCACTGGCGTCCCAGGCCACAGCCTGGCCAGCCCATCCCTTTCCCAGAGCCCAAGGCTGGCAGCCCTGGGGTAGGCGGGGGCAGCATCTTCCTAGGGGGCCTGGTGCTGGGGTCCTCCTTTGAGGCTTAGGGCCGTTCACCAGCTGGAGAAAGGCAGGCAGCAGAGGAACTTTCGGAAAGAAATCCTGGCCAGAAATTCCGTGAGGTTCTTCGTGAGGCTCCCCTGCATGGCCTTCACCTCCTTGGGCCCTTGGTGTGTGGTCACTTTCCAGACAAGGGCATGTGGAACCCGGGCAGCTTGTCCCAAGGCCCAGCACTCCCTCCCACCCTCTCTGTCAAAGGCTAGCTGATCACCCCCGCCCCGGGGAGGATGAATCTTGACCATCCACAGGGAGTGATAGACAAGAACAGTGGCCAGAAGCTGCATCTGCCACATTCACTGATTTTGGGGGGGGATATTCTTGAGCCCCTGTTCTGCACACTGGACATGGCAGGTGAGTGTCCTGCCCACACAGAGCTCACTTGCTGTCTCAGGCAAGGCACTCACTCAACTGAACCGAGGGCTGTAGAAGGGGGTCGGTCTTATCAGGTAGTAAGTCCAGGAAGGTCGGGAGGGAGCACAGGGGTAGGGGTTGGCAAGGCCCTGATCCAAGGTGGAGGGAAGAAGCCAGGATTTCCATACAGACTTCTAGCTCTACCCTCAGAGATGATTCCAGGGTCTGGGGCCAGGCACAGGCATCTGTGTCTTTAAGGAGCAATGCCAGGTGAGCCTGGTGCAGGTGGACCACCTCCTGTGGGCCTGGGGGTAACGCCCAAGAGGGACAGGGTGCCTGGGAGGCCAGCCCACAGGGGATGGTCTAGAGCAACAGGCCGGGGACCCCTTTTGGAGAGGGTAAAGTTGGGGATGGAGGGAAGTGGGGATTTGCAGACCAAGCATTTGCATTGGATGGACCCAGAGGGACCCTAGCGTCGGTCACCCATACGGCTGTCTTTCCAGTCAGCCGGGCCAGGTGCCCCATCAGGATGGTTGAAAGGACCTGAGGGCCAGGCCCCAGGCTGGCGTCTGCTCACTTCTGGGCCCTGTGACCTTGGCCCAGCCCGTCCCAGGTCCCTCGAGCATGGTGACCTGGCCAGGGGGCCAACCTGACCGTCTTTCTCTCGCAGGTGCCACCTGGGACCACATGCTGCCGTCTGGCCCAGGTGTTTGACCCACGGTGGGGAAAAGCAGCTGCCTCCAGATGAGGGGGTCTCAGTGGGCACAGGGGTGGGGGGTGCCTGAGACGCTGGTCCTGAGCCCCCGGGTCGGAGACCATCGGGTGGAGGACACACAGCACGAGGCCTGAGGCAGAGGCTTTGCTGCGGTTACAGCAGCAAATGGGTGAGCGGGGCCTCGAGGCCGCCCCCTCCCCGGCCTACGTGGGGCCTCAGAGGGCAGGCCGGAGCTGGCACCCCGCATGGACCCCGAAGGACAGGCAGAAGCACAGGGAGGGCGGCCTGCCCAGGCCGGGGGTGTGAGCCCAGGCTGAGGGAGGAGACGGCAAGGCGCCCGGGCAGGCCGGGGCTTCACCATTACAGCCTTCTCCAGGCCAGAGGTGGGCTCCGGGGGCTTGTTGTGTACGTGCATACATCGAGGGCTGCACAGGGTCTCAGCTGGGCTGTGGGTCAGAGGAAGAGCAGAGGCTGACCATCTTTGCCCTCTGCTTACACCCAGCAGGTTGGATGTGAATGGACCAGGCCTGGGACAGAGCCCATGGGCCTTGGCCAAGCATAGCCAGTATCCGAGTGCGGGCGCTGAGCTGGCAGAGCCGGCACAAGCCCCGCCCCCAGAGCAAGGCCCCGGGCAGCCGAGGGGGCAGCCACAGCGGGCGGCTGCCGGAGGAGCACCTGTCACCTGCCCGACTGGTGAGTGCCGGGGGGCTGAGCTCGGCCGCAGGGGCTGACAGATGCCCTCGGCCCGCTGGGGCCCCTGCACCTGCTCCACCCTTGCGCCAACCCCAGGTGCTTGGCGACACAGACGTCCCCCAGGCATTCAGGCCGCAGAAGGGCCTGAGCCAGGCCCAGCCTCAGATTCGCTGAGCCCCTACCATGCGCTGGGCTCCAGGGACCCCTCCGTGAACCAGAAAGAAGGCCCCTCATTCTTGTGGGAAACAGGGTGACAGCCCATCCAAGCGCATGGCGCACAGACAGGGAACCACGAGCAGAGGAGGGAGCAGGCCATCTGCAGGGTGGGGCATCCTGGGGTCCCACTGACCGCATCTGGCGCAGTTGTTGAAGCCTCTCTCCCAAACCTGGGGTGCAGTGGCAGCCGCTTCCCACCCCCACCCTGGGGCCCAGCAGGTTCTGCAGAGTCCTCTCGCCTGCAGGTTCCTGCCCAGTGACCCCAGAGAGCAGCCCGGCACCTCCTGGTGACCAGACCCCTTCCCTTTCTGGCCATGCCCCTCGCCCTTCATTGGCCACGCTAAGGGCCAGGTGCTCCCCAGCACCCCTCCAGCCCCCACAAACACTTGCAGCCAGGTGAGGGACCCTTGGAGACCCTGGGGTGACAACCCACCAACACGCGGCAGAAGGAAGCCTGGCTGCCTGAGGTCCCCACGCACTTTCCTTACCAACTCGGAGAAGGGTCCACGAGGTCTGGTCACTGCAGGTGGACAGGACGCTCCCGCCGGCCCCCTCCCCACACCCCCCAGCAGCCCCTGTGTGTCCGCCCTCCAGCCAGGCCTTCAGCGCCCGCAGTACCCAGGGTCCTGGTCCAGCGTGGACCCGTCATGTCAGGCCGCCAGCCCCTGCTGCTGCACGGGCTGGGTGCTGGGGACACGCCTTGATCAGAGCTACTCCGTCCACCCTGGGACCTCCCCCTCCCCCACCCAGCTCCTGGCTGGGGAGAGAGCCTGCCTGTGTGAGCGTGGCCCAAGCACCCCAGGACCACCCTTGCTTCCTAACGTATTTGAGTCCAGTGCCCACCATGCCAAAGCGTGGCTGCTGAAGCATTTCCCTCGGTCGCTGGAACCGGGGGTCTCAGGCCTCTGTCCTCCCAGACCCTCTCGCATGTAGCCAGCATGTGGCGACTGGTTTCTCCCTGAGGCTGAGTCTTACTGAGTCATCCTAACTCCAAGCCCTTCTTCATTTTTTCTTTTACTGGTTTGAGCTGAGAAGCCATTTTATTCTCCAAGCCACGAGTTCCAGGACCCCTGGGCTCTCTCCACCAGCTCTGAACTCTGCCTTGTGTAAAACCTCATCAAATGCAGTGAACTGTGGCCAGCTCACTCTGCCCACAATTGCCTGGCACCTCTCCACCCCCATCACAGGTTCATTGTGTGCATCTTCTGCCATCCAGGTTACTACAGGAGACCCTTTTACCAAAAATTCCATTGTCACATGACCTGGGTCTCCATCTTTCCAGCTTCAGTAACACTCACATCACACACCCCCCACCAGTCCCCGTCCAGTGTCACATCATTTCATCATTTTTGTTATGGTAGCTATTGGAGCTGCACCTAGGTCCCAAGTTTTGTATGAGTCAGCTATTGCTATAGTGATGCTACATAACAAACAACCCCCAAACTCATCAGATTACAGTGCAAGTGTACCGTCCATGGGTTTGAAGAAGGCTGGGGCTCAGCCATGCTGAGCAGAGCTGGGCTCCAGGCCCTGAGCTGCACTGGGTCTGTTCCATGGGTCTCGTTAGGACACCAGCACACCTCAGGTCACACCCTTCTCTGGCAACGGCCCCACCAGCCACACAGGATCACAATCTCCACTCCTGTCACATCACACTTATCATCCAGCTGGAGCCAGTCGTGGCCACAGTCAACATGGGTGAGGCAGGGAAACGCCTGCCACCTGCTGCAGCCTTGCAGCCAAAACCAGGAGTCTCACTGGGGGGCAGGGCGGGGTGTGTGTGACTACTGTCCAGCTCTCAGGGCTGACTCCCCACCGACCCCTGCAGCAGGCCCTGGCCCAGGTGGATGACCTCCGACTGGTGAGCGTGCTGGAGCTGTGTGTCAACACCCACGGGAACAGCCTGGGGAACTTTGGTGAGAGCCCCTCCCCGTGCACACCCTCCACTGTCACGGCCAGGCCGTGCTTGAAGGCTCGGCCTGCTCGGGCCCTGCCCACCAGGATCTGGTCTTTGGACCACTGCACCCACAGACCTGCCCTGCACCCTGCTCTCCAGGGACTGATAACCCTCTCCCGGGGCCCTGGGAGCACAGGACACTGGCTGGGGGGGCCGTGCTCTGGAGCCCAGTGTGTGGTCTGGCCATGCCCACAGTTCCCTGTGGGAGGCGGCCTGGGGGCAAGACCCGCGCCAGCCAGGCTCCCCTCCCCGCAGAGTCCCGTGGCCCCGTGGCCTTCTGTGTGCCTCTGCCCCCACGGGGTGCCTCCTGCACCCTCCCCTGCTGGCCTGTGTCATTCAAACCGGGCCTCAGACATCAGCATGTGGCCCCAAGGCTGCCCCGGGGCCTCAGAGCAGCCATCAGGCAGCAGGGGCCGAGGGGCGCTGACACCTCTGAAGGTGCAAAGGGCGGCAGGGCCTGCGCTGACCTCTCTTCCTCCGGCCCCACAGGGCTGCACCTGCCCAACCTCAGCCAGCTGAAGCTGAATGGCAGCTGCCTGGGCTCCCTGAGGTGAGTGTCCACCCGCCGCGGTGGTCACGGGGGAGGGCATGCTGCCGGCCTGGGTGGGGTCCTGAGCATCCCACTATCTCCAGCTCCTGGCCCTAACGCCCACCCCTGGTCACATCGCCCACCCCTGGTCAGCTGGAGGCCCCGCTGAGGGTGACGCCAGCCACCCGGAGCCTGCAGTCAGGGTCGGGCTGATCACACCAGGTTTTGTGGCTGATGAGGTCTCCAGGGACCTCCCTGTGGTGCCCGGAAGGCACCCACTGACCTTCGGCAGAGGACCCCCAACCCGCGAGCCTGGGCAGCTCATCACCGACCAGCTTCTGGATTTGGGGCATCCCCACACCCCTCACCACAGCCCAGAGCTGTGTCCCCGTGCTGGTGGGGCCGTAGCTGGGGGTTGAGCCGGCCCCATCAGCGCAGCAAGACGAGCAGAGGAGCATGGCCGCTGCTGCCCAGCCGGACCTCAGGCCCCATGTGAAACACAACAGCATCTTAATAGCTTAAAAGACAAAATGCAAAAATCAGGACAGATTAAGGTTTTTGCTTACTTCGTCGGGCTGGAAAGAACAAAGCTGAGGTAATATCAGAGTTTATTGGGTGTTTGAACAAAATGGGTGTCAGGAAAACCCTGCTGGGATTTTGTTTTTTGTTTTTTTATAAATTTATTTTATTTATTTTTGGCAGCGTTGCGTCTTCGTTGCTGCGCGTGGGCTTTCTCTACTTGTGGCGAGCAGGGGCCACCCTTTGTTGCGATGCGTGGGCTTCTCATTGCGGTGGCTTCTCGTGTTGCGGAGCACGGGCTGTAGGCGCGTGGGCCTCAGTAGTTGTGGCACGTGGGCTTCAGTAGTTATGGCTCACAGGCTCTAGAGCTCAGGCTCAGCAGTTGTGGCGCACGGGCTTAGTTGCTCCACGGCATGTGGGAATCTCCCGGACCAGGGCTTGAACCCGCATCCCCTGCATTGGCAGGCGGATTCCTAACCACTGCCCCACAAGGGAAGCCCAACCCTGCTGGTTTTATGCGGCCAGACAGCCGTCCTGGGGCAGTGGGAGGCCAGTCCCAGTTCTAGAAAGTTCTCCTGATGTTTTAAATGGGCTGTAAGTATCCAGTCATTTCGAGAGGAGATGATAAAGGTATTCATTAAGCAGCCTTGCACGATTTTTCCCATTTGTACTGCTGTTTGTCGAATAAACATCAAAAAGAATTTGAAAAACACCTGAAAGCCTAGAAGTGGAAGCAAAGAAGATCAGAGGCTGCGTGGCCCCTGTAGGCAGGGACAAGCAGGTGGATGCCAGCTTCCACGGCTCCTGCATGGCTCCTGGGCCTGCAAGGAAGGGTCTGGAAAGCAGGTTCTCAGAATTGCCTTTAGTACCTATACATGGTTCAGCAATATTCTGACAGAGATGTCAATACTTTAAGTTAACAAAGACAAAAAGAATCATATTTACTCCTTCATTATTAAGGCTTACAAAATAGCTCAAAGAACAATAAAATATATAGAAACCATAAAAAGGATGGAAACTACAAAGAGAAGTGGAAGGTATAAAATTAAGTATCTGTTACCATTTGTAACAAAACAAAATATTTGATTTCAAAAAAAAATCAATTCCAAGAAAAAATTAAATCATGATTTATATAAAACATTTGTTCTGTTCCTTGATAACAACAGTGAAAACTATAAGGAATCTTTTAAGTTTCCTGAAACTTAGCACATCCTGAAACTTGGCCAAATGTTTGCAGATCTTCACAGAGTGATAGTAAATAAATATTTGTGAAAGGAAACTAATTCAATATGACAGTGCAATGAAGTGATGTTACAGCTTAGCTGATGACAGAGACAGTCAAGACATTAAAACCCCAGGCAGTGTTATGAGGACAGGAAGGTAATTTTCACGTGATGGCTGTCACTTCATCCGAAGCTGAGAGAGAATTCGGCCCCTGAAAGTGTCACTGACGTGAGGACAGATGGGGCTGGTTTCCAGGCCAGCCAGCATCCGACAAGAGCATCCTTCACCAGGACCACTGTGTGGGGAAACCACAGTAACAATCTCTGAAACTCAACAACTAACTTGGAGATCATTAAAATGATTGAAGGGACAGTTCTCACTACAACTTAATCGTGTGTGTGTCCCCTGAAGACTCTCCACCCTTCCTCCTCCCATGATCTCAGACCATGGTGGCTTTCACTTAAACAGAAACCCCTCATTTCGATTTGTTCCAGTCCATCAGTTCCGGCTGGTATTGTGGGTGTTTTTTAGGAGGTTTGTCCGCACCCCAGGGTCTTGGAGATATTCTACTTTTTCTTCTATTCACTTATGGTCTCACTTTTCATTTTTGGGTCTTTAATCCTACTTATCTGTGAGGTTGCTTCCACTCCTGATATGAGATGGGGACCCAGTTCTGTTTAGCACCACCTGGTGAGTTGGTTTTCCCAGCATCGTCTACCCCAGGCCCCCGCGGACACGCTGGCGGAGTGAGGAGCTCTCCGTCATCACAGTCTTCATTGGTGCGGCTTTGTGTTAATCTGTAACATGTGTTACCCTCATCGTAGTTTTCCTTTTTCCAAACTGACCTAGCTATTCCTGAGCACTTATTCTTGCATTTGAGTTTTACGACCAGTTTGCTGGGTTTCACACACCCTTATCTTTCAGGATTTTGTTTTGTTTTGTTTTGGAATTCTAAAAAGGCACATGCTCATTTGGGTTAATTTTTATGTTATACACATCCATGAACATGGTATAGCTCTCCATTCACGTGTGCTTTAATGTTCTTAATAGAGTCTTTAAACTTCTTCTGTAAGGTTTATAGGTTAGAACGCTTTCAGCTGCAAGTTACAGAAACCTGCAGCCAACTGGCCTGAGCAGTGAGAAATTGTTTATCCCTCAATTGCCTAAGGACCACGGGGCAAACCCTGTTCTAAGCACAGAGGATATGTCAGGGAACAGAACAGGTGAGAATCCCTGTCCCTGAGGGCACACAAGGAGCCCAGTGGTGGCTCACGCAGCCGGTGGCCCCCCAGGATGTGGCCCCCATCCCCATGCCTGGGGCTGCTGCAGCCACATTGGTGGGCTGAGGGAGTGTGGTAGCTAGTCTTCTAGGGTTGCTGAACAAAGCACCACGAACCAGGTGTCCTGAACAGCAGAAACTGACTCCCTCAGGTCTGGAGGCCACGAGTCAAGATCAAGGTGTATCTCCTTCTGAGCCAGAGGGAGAACCCAGCTCACTCCTCGCTCCTGGGGGTTTGCTGGCCACCTCTGACGTTCCTTGGCTTGTAGACTCATCACCCCAATCTCTGCCTTCAGCGCATGTGGCCTTCTTCTCCCTGTGTCCAGATCCAAATTTCCCCTTTTTGTAAGGACACCAGTCATATTGGATTAGGGCCCACCTCACCTCCACCAATTACATCTTCAGAGACCCTGTTTCCATGTCAGGTCACATTCTGAGGTCCTGAAGGTTAGGACTCCAACATATGAATTTGGGGGGTGGGGTGGGGAGGATGCAATTCATCCCATAACAGGAAATGTGCCTTCCTGTGTCCATCAGTAAGAACACGAAGGTTCCCGGCATTCTTCTGTGTTTCTTTGGCCAGAACTGTATCATGTATACACTCTCTTACACCAACCACTAGCAAGGGAATGGAATTATGATTGGAGTGGGCTAATCAGGACCCCCACCTGTGCACCCTGCTGCCACTTGGGACAGGGCAGGACACCAGCCTCCTCTGAAGGCAGGGTTCCCTGAAACCAGAACTGAATTAATTCCCACATACTTATAGTATTTTTTATAATCATGGATGAGGGCCTGATTCTGCTGTATTCTGTTTGATTGTTGCAAATTTAGAGAAACACTATGCTGATTTAGAATAGATTTTTTTTTTAATTTTTATTTTATTGGAGTATAGTTACTTTACAATATTGTGTTAGTTTCTACTGTACAGCAAAGTGAATCAGCTATATGTATACATATATGCCCTCTTTTTTGGATTTCCTAGAATAGATATTTTAAATCAATAAAACAATTGTTTTTTTATAAATGGGTCTATTACCTCTGGCAATAGTGTACCTTTGTTTTGTACTTAACATTATTGCCAAACTGTCCTATTAATTCAAATAATTTGTTAATTCAGATGGGTGTCCATATTGATGGTGATCTTATCAGCAAGTTACGAGTGCTATCTTTCACTCAAATCCTCCTGCTCCTTTTTCTTGTCTTATTGCTTTGGCCAGGATCTGCTAACCAGTACGATGTTAGCGGCAATGACAGTAGCAGGCATCCTTGATTTGTTCCCGATCTTAACGGGTATGTGTCTGGGTTCCTCTGCATCTATTGACCTGATCATAAAATGATATTTCTCCTTTAGTCTATTTATGCACTGGATTCCACTGACAGATTTTGTGATGGTAATTCATCCTTACGTTCCTGCAGTAACACTACTTGATGAGTTATTTTTAAATCACTGTATGGACTTCCCTGGTGGTGCAGTGGATGGGACTCTGCGCTCCAAATGCAGGGAGCCCAGGTTCAATCCCTGGTCAGGGAACTAGGTCCCACATGCATGCCACAACTAAGAGTTCACGTGGCACAACCAAGGATACTGCCTGCCACCACTAAGACCCAGTGCAACCAAATAAATAAGTAAATAAAAATATTTAAATCACTGTAACGTTAAAATAATATTTGCTGTGCAGTTTTCACATCAGTCTTCATGAGTGATAGTGCTTTAATGCCCCAGTTTGTATTTCTCTGGTCCTGGAATCAAGGACTGACTCAGACGGGGCCCTCCCTTTTATTGTTCTCTTCAACTGCTTAATTTTTTGAAACTTCCTGTACAGGAAATTATTGTGGAAGATAGAGATTGTCTATTCCATGATAGATCTTATTTTTAAAACTGATCCAGATCCGGGGACTTGGCGGGGGTGGGGCGAGGGGTGTTAATCACTGTTTAATTTCTTTAGTGGTTATTAGTCTAGTTTTCTTTCTTTTGGCACCAGCTTTGTCTAGTTTTCAAGAATGTTGGTATGCAGTTTGTTCATAATGGTTTTTGTTGTTTTAAGCTGCTGCTATAGCCATAATTATTCCTCTTTTTAAGTTCCATACATTTATTTGCATTGTCCCTCTGTTCATCCTTGATCAGTCCTGCCAGAGGATTGTCTATTAAGTTTTTAAAGAATCAGCACTGGGCTCTGTTAATCTTCTCTATGTTTTTTCTAGTTATTACTGGTTCTGTTCTAATCTTGATTACGTCTTTCCTTCATGTTCTTTTGTTACTTGCTGTTGTTCTTTTTCTGGCTCCTTGAGCTGAATGCTTAGCTTAATTGTTCCACTCCTTCCAGTTTTTTGATAAATATATTTAAAGATCTAACTTTCTAGGGCTTCTCTGGTGACGCAGTGGTTAAGAATCCGCCTGCCAATGCAGCATATATATGCAGGAATG